TAAAATATGATCAAAGTATATTTTCTTTTAGAAACTCTACAAAACATATCATACATTTTAAATCCATAATTAAATTGATTGTTCCCCATCATGCTGGAGATTTGGACATTAAGCCCATAGTCTACAGCTTAAAACTTACGTGTTTAACCATAGCCTAATATGGTATCATAAATATATGCAAGTAAATTGACAGACATGTCAAGTATCACACATACTGAAACATTTATTAATAAAACTTCAAGTTAGGAAAATACGACTTTATTCAAGATTTATCACAAACAATGTGCATACATTCTTCTTCAGAGCGTAATTGTTTAGAAATATCAGTATCGTCCATCTTACAATTTAGGTTGTGTTCTTCATATTTATCCAAGAGCAAATTCTGCTTACAGATCGATACCCATTGACATTTAGGAATAACACAAACCGAAACATTTATGAATTATAAAATACTGGATTGCTAAGATTAAATTAACTTGCATACAAGTCTACCACATTTCAGTTAGCATACAGTTTTTGTATACTTTCTTCTCAGACTCTCCTACTGACCTATGGTCATTAGTCATATGCCAATCAATGACCTGATGAAACAAGAACTAGTGTATTTCATCTAAGATAAAATAACACTGATTGTAACTACAAGAATTAACTTCTCACATAAATATGGAGAATCTACAGAGAATGTGTTAAATATTGTGATGTAATATCAATCTATCATTGGAACAATGAGTACAGTGAATATCACAGTTGACATTCTCAATATGATGATTACTTATAAGTTCTGTGATCTTACTATAAATGATATGGTCTACAAGAAAAGACATATCCATACTTTACATTAAATCATTTTTGAAGTTTTGTTAACAAATGTTTCCATATTGAAGTTTTTTACTAAACTTTTCGGTATCTGTGATACTTAAGTCTATTATTTTACTTACATATGTTAATGATAGCATATGGGGTATGATGAAACATGAGTTTTATATATGAAATATAAATGGAGACTTGTATTAGTTGTTCAAACATACTTATTAAAAACTGATATTCATGGAGTGTAATTTATCATAAAAGAATAAGCTAGACACATAACTATGTGGCATTTGATCTTTAGTCTGAATAGACTGAATTATCAAGGTAACATGAGTACAAGTTATATTTTCTGACTGACCCTGTCTGGACTCTTGACCAATTGTTGTATATTGGACACAGTTTAATCTTATTGAATAGTGGGCATAAAATGTTTTTGTTGTGAAGTATGGAGAACTCAGCAAAATACAAGAATTGTACACTAATTATTTCGTTTATAAACTATATCAAAAATCTTACATACTAAACTGAAATGAACAAATGGTAATATGGACATAATATACAAAAGTTGTATGAAAGCTAATTCAATATTATACAGAATGTCTGGTTTGTTTGTCAGTTTAATAGAAATGAAAGCATTACTTGTTTTAGCCTTAGGCAAACACGCCTCATGGTCATACACAAAGGCCAAGTTTTATTAATTGTAAAGTTTGTTTGTT